TTTTGAACGGTCTACATTCATTAGTTAAGGGTAATAAATTATTGATGGTCGAGTGTTATCGTGCAGCTGTATTATTTTATCCGATCAAAAGACTTGATATTTTCTTGTTTAAGCGTTGAGCGTAACATCAAGTGCACTGATCCGGTCGTGTACACTAAAGTGAAATTATACGCTGCAATTTTAGTTGATCACCTTTTCTCCTGCTACAATTGTAAGTACAAACAACAGAATCTGCATTATTAGATCAAAAATTTAACAGATGTGTTACGAATCTGTTGCGATCGGTGCGCGATTTCGCACCGAGTTACTTCGACGATGTCTTCTTCCATAGCCGGGCTATGGATGGAAAGACGGACGTGGAGGTTCATAGAATCCACGTCCGGAAGATTCTTACGCTAATGCGAGAGCATAAAATGTTTGCGAACCTCAATAAGTGTATATTCGCAACAAACGAAATACCACTACTTGGCTGTATGGTGGTTAAAAACGGCGTACGCCCTGATTTAAAAAAAGATCAAGGCGATTAGCAAAAGGCCTGGGCCAGTCGACGTCAAGGGACTTCGAAAGTGTCATGGCTTGAAGGCGTACTTGCACAAATACTCGCGCAACTATGCCAAGATGATTGTACAACTATCTCGTCTGTTACTGAAAACGAGAGGTGGTCATGGAGCGCTGAGTGTCAGCACTCTTCTGAAGTTATCAAGAAATGCTTGACAACAATCGCCTGTGTTGGACATTGCAGACCAGGACAGACCATTTCATGTGGTCTGTGACGCCAGCTATTTTTCAATTGGCTGCGCGTTAATGCAGTACGACTCAGACGGCGATGAGCGCTTCGTCTGCTACTAATCTCGTCAGCTGCAAGCTCCTGAGCATATTACTCAGTGCATGAAAAGAAACGCCTTGCCATGAAATATGCACTGGCCAAGTTTCGGGTGTATCTCTTAGGAGATAGGCCCTTCATCGTTTATACCGACCATGCGTCGTTACGCACGGCCGTAAATAGTCCACACCTCTCGCAATGAATGGCGAGGTGGCTGTCTTTTTTCGCGGAGTACAACTATTCTATCAAGTACATACCAGGACGACTTAATGTCGTCGCTGATGCTCTTTCGCGTTGCCCCAATTAAGAGTCTACTGCTCAACCCAACAGTAGGGGTGATCCCACTGTAGCAACACTGAAAGTGAGTGTTCCTTCGTCGAATCTGCTCGACGACGTGCAAAAAGCATAGAGCATACGCAGAAGATGAGTCTCTTCTGCGATTGGTGGATTACGTATCCAATCCGTGCAGTCAAGATTAAAAAAGCTTGTCGTCTCAATACCGCTCTTCAATCGAACGGTATTCTGTTCGTGATGGACTGCTGTACTATACAGCAGTCAACGGCGACACACCTCGTGTCGTGATTCCCGCTCATAATTATTTGAAATTGCGCATCATGTATGAGTGTCACGATGCCCCAACAAGTGGACATCGCGGTAGAGAAAAGGCTTACCTCATGGTCAGTCGTGAATTCTACTGGCCCCGCCAATGTAAGTTTGTGCGCAAATGCATGCGCGCTTGCTAAGTTTGTCAGCGGGTGAAGCCTAGTCCTTTATCCTGCGCATCCTTGTAGCCTCTTCCAATTTCGGTAGAGTGTTGGCAGTCCGTATGGATGGACTTCTTCTTCGGGAAACCCAAAGACATTCACAAGAACACAGAAATTCTTGCGTTTGTTGATCGGTTCAGCAAGATGGTACATCTTGTTGCTGTACCGGAGTCAATCAAAGCCCGAGCTGTGCTCGTTTCTTCAGCGATACTATCTTCCAACTTCACGGTTTGCCCCGTGAGCTCGTATCTGATAGGGACCCCGCTTTACAGTGGAGTTCTGGCAATCCGTGTTCCGTTCACTTGGAACACATTTGACGATGTCATTTTCTAACCAATCAGAAACAGAGGTTCAGACGGAACGCGTCAACCGCGTTCTCGAAGAGATGCTTGGAGGGTTTGTTCACTCGTTTACGAGCTGGAGTGAGTTCTTGACGATGGCGGAATTCGCCATCAACAACTCGGTGCACGCGTCTACAACGCATACATCGTTCTTCGTGCATGGCTCTACGTTTACCCGCCTTCTTAGAGTGTGAATCTTGTTTGAGGGGGGATGGACTCGCTCGAACAAAAACCGATCAGGTTTATGCTCATCACCCGTCGACAATGGTGTCGACGTGATGGATGCCGATGTCGATGGGATCGATATCGATGATGATGATGACGACGATGCTGGTATATCCAGCATCGTCAACGAATGCCACAGTGAGGACAATCATACTATTACTGGTGAGGTCAACGTTTTTTTCAGCTGAGCACACAAAGTGCACTGCTGTTGACAAGGATATACAAGCAGAGGAATTTCTGCTGACCCGCGAAGCGGTTGGCCGCTTCGTTCAAGACTCTTTTGCAGATGCATTAGACTGAAAAAAGAGAAACTCAGACAAACATGGACGAGCAATTGTTTTTTCATATGATGAAGGAGACCTAGTCTTACTGTCCACAGTAAACTTACCGAAGCACGCAGTGACAAACGTGGGCAGCAGTAAATTACTGCCCAGGTACATCGGTCCATTTCGCGTGTTGCGCCGAATGGGCAACGCATTCGCGATTGAATGCCCCGTAAGATGCGTACGCATCCTACGTTTTTACGTCGGTCTTCTCCGCCCGTACTATCAGTACAAGCCCGTTTCGATAATCAAATAACACCTCCGCGGTCAAGACCCGCGACCACCTTCGAGTGGTCCCGTTTCAACGAGCCAGTCTGGTCCACTAGCGAAGCGACCTGCATACGCAGTTACGCGATGTATTGACGATCTGCAGCCAGCTCATTACAAAAAAAACGAGTCGACCGTTCGTTCTCAAGTAGCGCAAACGCAAAAGCGGCACGATCGCTCGAACGATCGTGCGTTAGGGAATACTAATTAACCCTTACGTGATCCTCAAGCTCATAACGCCGTGTCCATTCATGAGCCAGGTCATATTGTAACTGTTCCGTTAGACGGTTCAGCTCTTAAAAATCAAGCTGGTCCGACCCTCAAGCCGGAACAGGTATTCCCGCCGCCACCAAATCCCTGGCGGATTTTGACGGTGGTCAACGCTTTCTAGTGGAGCGTATTTTGAAACTCCGTGACGTGAATGGCGTCTGGACGAGTTACCTCTTCCGCTGGCGTGGCTATCCACCGGCCTGGGACAGCTGGTAGCCTCGTGTCCAGCTGATTGTTGATGTCCTAAGTCATGTCGAGAAATTTGACGAGACTCATTCGCCGCGTTCGAAGAAGAGCCATCGGATACGACCTTTCCAAACGCGATTACAGGGATTGCAAGATGTCAATCCCTTCGGCCATCTTGGAAGATATGCGCGCCCATCAGTAGGGATCAATAGGGAGGAAGGCCTCCCTAGGGCACGATTCGAGTCGTTTAGCAAACTTGGACATTGTAACGGGGCACCCTGAAGCTTGTACTGGTGACAGTACAAGCTACTTATTCCGATAACAGAATAAGGCGGTGCCTCGTAACTTCACGTACACTAGTACGTGCAGAGGAAGACGGTAAGAAGAAGCGAGTACTTGGTTAGAGTAAAAAGTAGAACTGTATTTATAATAGTTAATGTCTGCAATAAATCACTATTTATCTTCATCTAACTATGTCTAAATGCAAATGTGTAAATCAGTTATCTGCTCACCACTCATTGCGTGCGTCTGTCATGGCGCGTCTTCGTTGGTTGATATAATGGCCTATATCAACCAATTGGGAACTACCTGTAAGTGCTACAGAATATTTGTCCTTATGACAATAATTCTGAGAATATAACTCTTATAGTTATATTCTATTAACAATTTCTTATAAATTGTTATGTAACGATTCACCCGACACACCCCCCCAACCAACACACGTTACAACACCCCCCAAAAACAACCCCCTTTATAGACTGATTGACTAAATGGATACTCGTCCCAAATCATTTGGGACAGGGTTTGCACTTGTTGGTCCGCGTCCACTTTCCAACATTTCATCGCATGGTAAACAAGCCCATGCGATGCGCGAGCAAGGCCTCCGAGAGCGCGTCTGCACGTCTCTGTGCGGACGCCGAAGCAGAAACAACTGCAACTGATGTCTCATCGGTTGCTGAAGCGACCCAGCCTGTGTCACTTGGTGACGCAGGCGCTGGTCATGAAGACACTCGTGTCTTCACAGAGTACGAGCTCGGTGTCTCGTACTCTCCTGATACGGATGACGGATCCGTATCGGCGGCGATTGAATCTAAGCCGCCTGCCAAGCGTGGCATGGACGATGCTTTGCGTCGCAGCATCTTTGGTTCATCTGATGAGTCAGATGAACCATCGCCGAAGCGAAGGCGCTCGAGGTCGCGAGACTCGGGCGCTAATAGTGGTGTCGGTTCTCCAATGGACACCACTTCACAGCGAGGTGCCAGTACTTCTGTCGGCACGTCGCAGGAAGAGCGGGACCGCAATGTGTTGCGCCTCGCTCCAGAAAAGAAGGCATGGATGCCTCCAAAATCTGTCATGGATCACTTGTCGGCGACGACGAGTGATCGTTATCGAACACGATTGTTCGATTCGTCAAGGATCCATCACCTTAACACACAGCGCGAAAGACTATCGCGCTGAACATGAGTTCTTCATCGATGCTTTCTTCAGACATCGATGGTACAGTGGGAATCACAAACGTGATGGTCCCTCACTACTTCAGGCGTGGAACGCCTACATCCATAACCTCGAGGATGTAGGTCGTGACGCTTGGAACGACAAACTTATCAAAGCTCGTGATAAGTTTGAAAAGCGAACCCCGACAGGTGCACGCTACAAGCTGCATCGTCTGTCAAGGGAGAAAGGATTACCCTGCCTCTCTTGGGGAGACTCGTGCCCATGTTGTGTGAACAACTCTGCACGAGCACCTAAGGAGGCTTACCTCCTTACCAGCCCGTGGTGGCGCGTACGTGTCTCTACTGAGATGTACGAAGGGATTGACAACCTGAAATCCCTTTACGACCGTGCCGGGAAGACTTTCTCCGGCGGTCCTGCTGCGGCACAGGATGTGCCGCGTCGTACTGCTCGACCAGACCCAGTACGTCAACCATCAATTGGGAGCGGGGCTCCCAAGAATCCCAGGACGGGGGATAGCCGCGCCACCGGACGAGGTAACTCGTCCGACGTCCGTTCACGTCGCGGTGGTTCAACAGCTGCTCAACTAGATAGCGCTGGCCACCGCGAGAGTCCTCTAATGGAGGTGGAGGAGGAGGAAAGACGCTCTCCACACGATCATGTGGATCGGTGTGTTCCCGAGAGCTTCTTTGATCGCGTAACGCAAGGGTTACGCGACGATCTCGAGCATGAGCGGAATAGGCGTCTCCAGATGGTGGACACTGCCTCGAAGCATCGAGCTGAGTTTGCCTTTGCTCAGCTTGAGAACGAGAGATCTCTGACATCTCTTCGTGACGAGCTAAGGGTAGCTCGTGGGATTGTTGATCGGTCTCGGGACCAGATAGCTGCTCTTCAGACCCTTGTTGATGCCCACCATCGGGAGCACAAGGCTCTCTGCGAGATGCTTGAGCGCAAGGGCGTTCTTCATCGGAAGAAGCAGCGTACTGATGGTACGGCTTAAGCCGACCAACGTAAAACGTGGGATGCGTTCGCATCTTACGTGGTAACTCGATCGTGTATGCATGGCCTAGGCGGTGCAATACACGAAATGGGCCAATGTACTTGGGTAGTAGTTTACTGCTACCCAAGTTAGTCACTACATGCTTTGGTAGATTAACCGTAGACAGTAGGACTAAGTCACCTTTATTAAATAAAAGAGTGTTTGCCCTTCCATTCTTGTCAGCGTTTTGCTTTTGCTTATCCACCGCTTCGGCGATGGAGTCTTGCACAAAACGGACTACCGTTTCACGAGCCAGTATGAACTCATCTGATGACTCGTTAGCTCCAGTGTGCTGTGAGCGCACTGCAGCAACAACAACCTTTTCTTCAGTGAGGGCTTCCGCACTCTCGCTGGGATCATTGTCTTCAGTGAGGGCTTCCGCACTCTCACTGGTATCATCTTCTTCGATATCGATGTTATCGATATCGGCATCGAACGCAATGACTTCTTCGTCAGAGCGTGATGAGCGTGAACCAAATCGGCTTTTGCTCGCGCGAGTCCCTCCCCCCTTAAACCAGAGTTACACTCTAGTAAGGTGGGTACACGCGGATGGCGCAAGCCATTCACGTAAAACGGTGTATGTGTCGTGGACGCATGCACCGAGTTGTTGATGGCAAACTCTACCATTGGCAAAAACTCACTCCAACTCTTAAAGGAGTGTACGTATCCTCGAAGTATCTCTTCAAGGACACGATTGGCACGTTCCGTCTGACCATCTGACTCTGGATGATCAGATGTTGACATCTTCAAGCGCGTTCCGAGTGATTTGAACACGGAACGCCAGAAATCAGCAGTGAATCGTGGATCTCTGTCTGATACGAGTTCACGGGGCAACCCATGAAGTCGGAAGATGGTGTCAATAAAGACGCAAGCACAGCCACTTGCCGTGATTGTCTCTGGTACAGCCACAAGGTGTACCATTTTGCTGAATCTGTCAACAAATACGAGAATACCCGTATTCCCGCGTGCGTCTTTGGGTAACCCGAAGACGAAATCCATTGAGATGGATTCCCAGCACTCAGCCGGAACCGGTAGAGGCTGTAAAGGTGCACGCAGTGAAGGACTTGACTTCACTCGTTGGCAGACTTCGCATGCGCGAACATACTTTCGCACAAACTGATACTGGCGGGGCCAGTAAAAGTCTCGACTTACCGTGAGATATGTTTTCTCTCGGCCACGATGTCCTCCTATAGGAGCATCGTGATACTCGAACATGATCCGCAAACGCAGATCAGTATCATCTGGAATGACAACACGTGGTGTGTCACCAGAAACGGCTGTATAATACAGTAAACCGTTACGAGTAGTGTATCGATCTGATGCAGATCGATACGCAGGCGACAATCGTTTCAACGATTCTCGGGATGGTTGGGAGAGATGTGACAACAACTTCACTATCTCACCATCTTGGGCGTATGCCCGCCTCACATCATCATACAGCATTGTAGATGGAACTGAGGACGTCATAACCGCAACAGTGACTGTCTCACTGTTGGGTTTCGCGACTGTTTCAAAGTCGGGACGACGTGAGAGTGCATCAGCGACGACATTAAGTCGTCCTGGTTTGTACTCAACCGTAAAGTTGTATTCTGCAAAGAATGACAACCACCGCGCCATTCGTTGTGAAAGGTGCGGGCTGTTCACTGCCGTGCGTAAGGACGCATGGTCAGTGTAAACAACGAAGGGTCTATCTCCTAATAGATAGACTCTGAACTTCGCGAGTGCATACTTCATGGCAAGGAGTTCCTTGTCATGCACTGGATAGTTCCGCTCAGCTGGTTGCAGCTGACGCGACTGATAGCAGACGACGCGTTCAACGCCTTCAAGATCGTACTGCATTAATGCACAGCCGATTGCGAAATCGCTGGCATCACAGACCACATGAAATGGCCTGTCCTGATCGGCTATTGCTAGGACTGGGGATTGTATCAAGCTCTGCTTGATACCCTCAAAGGAGCGTTGACATTCAGCGTTCCATAACCACCTCTCGTTCTTTTTCAACAAACGAGAGAGGTGTACAGTCATCTCGGCGTAATTGCGTGAATACTTATGCAAATACGCCGCTAGCCTAAGGAATTTTCGAAGACCTTTGACATCGACCGGCACAGGCCAGTCGGTGATCGCCTTGATCTTTTCGGGATCAGGACGTACACCGTTCTTACCAACGATGCACCCAAGAAGTGGTATTTCGCTTGCTGCAAATATACACTTCTTGAGGTTTGCATACAATTGATGCTTTCGCATGATTGTAAGAACTTGTCGGACGTGGTACCTGTGAACCTCAACGTCCGACTTTCCATCCATAGCTCGACTATGGATGAATACGTCATCGAAATAACTCGGCGCGAACTCTCGTACTGGTCTCAACAGATGTGATACACATCTGTTGAACGTGGCAGGGGCATTACTGAGCCCTTGTGGCATTACTAGCCATTCCCAGAGCATGCCGCTAGGCGTGCTAACTGCGGTATAGGGTATATCCCGTTCCCGCATTAGGATTTGATAGAAGCCATCCATCAAATCCATGGACGAAAAGATGGTACTCTTTGACATACCATCAATGATTACGTCCTTCCTCGGTATCGGCGTCTGAGCCGGTACCGTTGCAGCGTTCAATTTGTTAAACGCGTGCACTATCCGCCACCCTCCTGTTGCTTTTCGCACACAGAAGGTCGGAGAGCTATGTGGGGAAGTTGATTCCCTCACATGGCCCGCTGCTAAACGATCGGCAAAGAACTTGTCGATCGCAAGTACTTGTTCACGAGGCAGTGGCCACTGCTTCATGACACAGTACTTCGAGCCTGGTTTAAGCTCGACTTCGTGTCGAATACCTTTATCCTTCGGTAATTCGCACGGAACAGTTTCAGGGAATACATCCTTGAATTCAACCAAATCCTCATAGAGAGGATTTTCCTTGAGCGATTCCCATGATTGGGACTCATATCGCTCAATTCGTGTCTTTTCATCTAGGACACTCTCGTCCATAGATGAACTACTGAGAACTCTCTCGTTCTCAGTAAACACTGTTGCTGACCTTATGTCGGTTACACACTCGTCGTCAGCGACGAGTATGCAGATCTGCTTGACTTTGCCACTACGCAGATCACGCAAGAACCTTTTATGTTCGAGCGTTGGCAACTGAGTGATCTCCGAAGTTAACTTCGGAGGCGCAATCAGATCAAGTGTATAAGCGCCTACACATGATCCGTTATTGACTATGACATTCAATGTCTCTGTCATTTCCTGGGGACTTATTCCCTCAGGCTTCGAAGGACTTATTCCTTCGTCTTCCCGGGGACTTATTCCCGCGGGTTTCGGGGAACTTATTTCCGCCGTATTTGTAATCTTGGGACTTATTCCCTTTTCTTCCTCTAGCTGGGGTTGCGCAACCACAGCGAGATCCTCTACGAAAGACTCTCCAGTCGATCTAGGATTATCGTTTCGCTTAACCTGAGCGATCGATTGTTTTCTCTTCTAGATGTTCCCCTCTAGGGATACATCTTTGTCCCAGTCCACCCGACTTATTCGAGTGGTGGACCTTCGGCGCAGCCTGTGTTTCCTCACAGCCGCCGGAACTTTGCTCCGAAGTGTAACCGTTTGGTACACTAAGGTTTTGTGCAGTCGTACTAACGACCGTACCACAAGTGAGGCCATCGCACTCACTCGTAGTACATCCACACGCTTGTGGACGCTCCAAAACGTTCATCAGATGGCCATCTGATGAACAAGCGGCAGGCATCGTTACTGTCCGATGTTGCCAGTTTACTCGTGGTTCGTACCTTCTGAGCCACGGTATTCCAAGGATGACATCAAATTTGTCATCCAAATCCAATACGATAAAGTCATCGTCATATTGGGTATCTTCTAGCGTATAGTGAATCTTCACTATACGCTTCATGACGGTTACGGATGCGCCTGTCGCAAGACGTACCGTCATCCTCGTAGGAGGTGTGTCACATTCACTGAATTTAAAGTGACCATCTTCTAGCGATTGGCGTCGAACAAAATTGTTAGACGCCCCACAATCGACTAGAGCTCGAAGGGACAACTTATTCGTCACTTCGAGTTTCAAGGTAATGAGTGAGATCTCATTACCTAGAGCAGCAACGCACAACGTCTGTGTGTTGGGAGCAACCTTCATCAAGAGGCCTACAAATTCTCTTGACGTTGCTGGATCAGTAGGGTGCTCCGCACCTACTGATCCTGTCCGTTTTTTGACGGTCCATCCCGTTGTTGCGTCTTTGCACCAACTGCGGACCCTCGTCCCTGCCCCTTTCTCATGGGTGGACGGTCACTACGCCCAGTGTCGCGAGACACTGGACGAGGGGCACTACACTCGTAAGCGTAGTGTCCTGTCTTTTGACATCTGTTGCATCTCTGCAACTTCTTGTAGCCTGTAGAGCGAGCCTTCTCGCTCTCTACATAACAGAGTTCCATCGGCTCTGGACCTCCGTTGTCGTATCGTCTCGGTTGACGATATGATGTCGAGCTGGCGCGAGCCTGTCTCAGACTGAAGTCTTCCTGCTCCGCAATGGAAATGGCTTGTTCTAGTGAATCTAGTTCAAGCCGGAACAGGTGAGTCTTGACGGGACCATCCGCAAGACCCTGCATGAACACCGAAACCAACGTGTGTTCATCCACTGGATTGGAACTTATACAACTCGTAAGATGTCGTATGTGTTGAGCGTAAGCGTGCACATCACGCTTACCCTGCTTGAGCTTCAAGAGTTCGGTTCGAGCCCTGAACTCAGCTCTAGGCGGTTCAAACGTTTGTCTGAGCCGCGACTTGAAGACTTCCAACGACCCAAACGCATATGGGTCGTGCAGCTTGAGCCCCCGTGCCCAAGTCTTGGCACGTCCTGCCAGATTTGACTGGGCAAATGCAACTTGCATATCCCCGTCGTCGATGCGACGCGCCCTTATGGCGTCATCCAATTCGACGAACCATCTCAAGAGGGAGT